CTAGGGGTGGCCAGCGGCGGTGAGCGGGGCAGCGGCGGGCTAGGAGCCGTACAGCGCGCTAAGGGGCAAGTGGTCGAGAGCGAGGGCTAGGGCTAGGGCTAGGACTAGGGCTAGGGCGGAAGCACGGGCGGGTGGGCGGGGAGGGCCTATCCAAGCGTGATACCATCTGAGAGTAATAAGTTGACTAGAATCAAGGGTACAAGGTAGTTTTGTGCTAGTGTTTTACTATCTAAGAGGATTCAACTATCTTGCCTATTATAACATATGCATATATGTTTGACAGCACAGGCACAGCCAACTACAAGGTAGTGGAACATGACTCAGGATAGTGATGATGGTGTACATGGCAACTGGAAGTGATAACGAATGCACCCCCGCTAGGACGGATGACAGGGAAACACTAACGCCGGGACAAACAGACTAGGCAAAGTAAAACCTACAGTACCCTCTTAAGGGCATGAGCGCAGGGGGGGAGCGAACAAGCATAAATGATAAGGACTAACGGAGAAAGCGCTGCTTTCGATTTCTGCACACTGGGCCATGGGAACGCAATGTCTGACGTGGGTGGGTGCAATTTCTGCGACTGTGAGGGGTCAGCTGCAATGAGGCTTCACTTTTTCCTCCATCAACCTTCATCTCTGCTCCACCAGTCTACCTCTTTCCCCCATCGGCCTCCATCAGTCTTCCCCATCCGCCCCTTCTTGTGCGAGTGGCATGAGCGATTTCACAACAGTGCCCATGGATGGCCGGAACTCTGCCTCGTACTGCACACACAGCGCTGCCAGGGCGGCAAACTGCACCGGGGGGGGGGACGGAGAAGGAGACAATGAGAAGTTGACGAGTGAGGGTCAAAGTGGTGGTTAGAACTCTGCCTCGTACTGCACATACAGCGCTGCCAGGGCTGCAAAATGCACCTGGGGAATGAGGGGAAGGGGGGTGGGGGGGAGGAGACGAAAGTAGGGACAGGAAAGGATGAGAAGTTGAGGAGCGAGGGTTGAGTGATGGCCGTAACTCTGACTCGTACTGCACACACAGTGAACTGCAAGGGAGCAGGGGTGGGGAACATGGAGGAGTTGAGAAAGGGGGAAAGGGTGTATGGTTGAAGAGCGACAAGAACGGAAGTATGCAAGGTGTTTATAGGAACGGGAAGGTTGTCATGGAGGAATCAGGAAAGTGGAAAATTTGGACAACAAGTGTTGGAGGGAGATTCATGGGTCCATCCTGGCATATGCAGCCAAGCCACCTTGCAGCTATGTCTGGTCGCCGGGAGCAATGACAAGAGGAGAAGGGATGAGCGAGGCAACAGAGGCCGCATCCGGCAGAAAGGGCACACACACGGAGAGCAGGTTGGCCTCTAGACAAGGCATAGCCAGTCACAGACACACCAAAGGTGTACGCATGCGGATGTATGTATGCATGCGCGCGTGTGGCTGCGCATGTGTGAGCATGTGAGCAAGGGTATGCACGCTTGTGTGTTCCACACCCGTCAATGCCCCCGTGCTCTCCAGTGCTCCCCTGCCCCATCTTGACCAGAGGAGCTCTGGCAGGGGCGAAGTTCTATACCATACCAAAGCCCCTCAAGAACACACCTTGACAACAGCCTTGGCAGGAAAGGCGACTCTATTTTGAGCCCCCTCAAGAACCGACGTGACGTCCATAAGCCCCCTCGGCAACGCACCTTGACAACGGCCTTGGCAGGGAAGGAGCCCTTGAGCTTGGGGTCCACGCAGTGTTTAACCCTGTCCTCCGCTAGCCGCCCGTGCGTCGCCTGGGGGCGGGGTGGGGTGGGGAGTGGGAGGGGGGGAAGGGAGGGAGGGGGAGGAAGAGAGGGCCAGGAGAGATTAGAGGTGTCTCAGGGTCCACGCAGTGCTTCACCCTGTCCTCCGCAAGTTGCCTGGGGCAGCGAGGGAAGAGAGGGGGGGTGAGGAGAAAGTGTGATCTCAGGAGGAAAGGTTTGAGGAAAAGGGGAGGGAGGGAGGGGGGGATAGGGGGGGCAGAGAGGGAGTGGGGGAGAGGGAAAGGAGGCGGGGGGGGGGGGGGGGGGGGGGGGGGGGGGGGGGGGGGCGGCTAGAGAGGTTAGGGGAATGTGAGAGAGCTCAGGATAACAAAATTGGGGAAAGGAAGGGCCCACCTGACGACAAGGGAGGTTGAGAGTGCTGGGGAGAAAAAGAATGTGGGGGAGGTGAGAGGACGGGAGAGGGAGAGGAAAAAACAAAGAGAGAGGTGGAAGGAGGTAGAGCATGAGAGGAAGAGATCGAGCAAAAGGAGCGGAAGCGGGGAGGGGGGGCAGAGGGAGGGCAAGAGGGGAGGAGAAGGCGTACCCATTGCACGAGCGACTGTTGGCCTCGGGGCATGTTCTGGTCTACGGGCTTGCGGCCTGTGAGGAGCTCCAGCAACACCACTCCAAAGCTGTACACGTCGCTCTTCTGCGTCAGCTGCCCCACCGTCGCGTACCTGCGAGAACACAAGATGGGGGTTGCGGAGATGGGGGAGAGAGGATACCGGATAGGGGGTTCGAGAGGAGTGAGGGGGGGCGGCTGGGGGAAGAGGAGAGTATGGGAAGCTTGCGCCACAGTAATCCGCGTTCCACACCACACAACGCCATACCATGCCATGGACAGTGAGTACCAAAGCCCTGCAGCACCCGGTATCCATAAGACTTCGTCACCCAGCACCCCCCACCCACACCACCTTTTCACATAAAAGCAACTCGCCACATGCCACCAATTCCCCATCCTTCCCCCGTCCCTAACCCCACTCCTTCCCCCCCCAACTCACTCTGACATGCTGTACCCAGGCTTCTCTTCCCATCACAAGCCCCACTCTACATCCTCCATTCTATCACTCCGGCGCATTATGCCCAAACGCGCCCAGCATGCGTGCCAAGTGCAACCAGCACCACCGTCTGGACAGGCGGCTCCCATCACCTCCCGTGCTTTCCTTCCCTTCATCAGCACCACCGCCACTACACCCTCCATTCCACTCAACTCGCTCTGCTGGCTCAACATGGCCCAACGTGCCTCAACATGCCTCAACGTGCCTCAACGTGCCTCAACGTGCCTCAACGTGCCTCAACGTGCCTCAACGTGCCTCAACGTGCCTCAACGTGCCTCAACGTGCCTCAACGTGCCTCAACGTGCCTCAACGTGCCTCAACGTGCCTCAACGTGCCTCAACGTGCCTCAACGTGCCTCAACGTGCCTCAACGTGCCTCAACGTGCCTCAACGTGCCTCAACGTGCCTCAACGTGCCTCAACGTGCCTCAACGTGCCTCAACGTGCCTCAACGTGCCTCAACGTGCCTCAACGTGCCTCAACGTGCCTCAACGTGCCTCAACGTGCCTCAACGTGCCTCAACGTGCCTCAACGTGCCTCAACGTGCCTCAACGTGCCTCAACGTGCCTCAACGTGCCTCAACGTGCCTCAACGTGCCTCAACGTGCCTCAACGTGCCTCAACGTGCCTCAACATGGCCCAACATGCCTCAACGTGCCCCCCACTCACTCTGGTGCGTTGTACCCAAACGTGCCCAGCACGCGCGCAGAGTGCAGCCGGGACGCCTGATCAGGCGCCTCATTCGCCACATTAAAATCCGCAATCTTGGAAGTAAAATCCTCAAACACGAGCACGTTGCTGGACTTGACGCCCTTGTGCACCATGGGCGGGCTTGCCTCCTCATGCAGGTACGCCAGCCCCGTCGCCGCGCCCAGCGCGATCTTCATGCGCTGCTGCCACGTCAGAGTAATGGGGGCTTCCTCCGTCTTTATGGCTAACTTCCGCCCTGCAGGGGGGGGAAGTGAGTGAGGGGGTACGGGAGGGGGGGAAGGGAAGGGGGTAGAAAGGGAGGGGAGGCGGAAGGGAGGGGGAGGCGGAAGGGAGGGGGAGGCGGAAGGGGGGATTGAAGGGGGGTTCTTTGTTTGAAACTGGAAACTAATGCTCGCGGAAGCTTCTGCTGAAGCTTCTGGGCCAAAGGCCTGTGGTGGTGCTCCCAGGGCTGTGTCGGTCCATCCATGTGAAGTCAGCAGCACCATACATACGTGCTCTCCCTGTTTGTATCGCTGTCCACAGGGTGGGAGAGAGGTAAAAGGTCGACGTGGTGTGGTGGTTCTTGGGACACAGAACCAGGGTGGGAGCACGCTACGTGCAGGGATAACCAGCTCGGGATCAAAAGACGGCTGGCTGGAACGAGTGGAAGGTGCCAGGGTGGGGAGCGGAGAGGACGGTGGGGGGGGGGTGGGGGAGCAAGAGGGGGGAGGGGGGGAGGTGGGAGAAGAAAGGGAAGGAGAAACGGCACGTGAGGGGGAGGGAAGGCAGCCAGGAGGGAAGGTAGCCAGGACGGAACAGGAGGGAACGCAGCCAAGAGGGAACAGGAGGGAACAGGAGGGAACAGGAGGGAACAGGAGGGAACAGGAGGGAACAGGAGGGAACAGGAGGGAACAGGAGGGAACAGGAGGGAAGAGGAGGGAAGAGGAGGGAACGCAGCCAGGAGGAGGCGCAGCAGGGCTTACCGATGCCGAGCAAGGTGCCTCTCTCCGCAAGCCCATAGACGAGCACTCGCTGCAGGCCGTGTGTACTGTGAGCCCACTCAAACGCACTAGCGAATGCAGCCAATTCTTACCGTGCAGGATGTCGTGCAGGCTGCCTCTCTCTGCGAGCTCGTACACCAGCACCCGCTGCGGGCCGTCGCAGCAGAACGCCACCAGCTCCACCATGCCTGCGTGCCGCAGGTTGCTCGCCACCGCCACCTGCAGGGAGTGACACCCCGCCGCGCCGAGGGGGAGGGAGGGAGGGGAGGGTAAGGTAGGGAGAGAGAGTTAGGGAAGTGCGGAAAAGCGGTGGCTTTGAGTGGAATGGAGTCCAACGCACCAGCTCCACCGTGTCCACATGCCGCATGTTACTCGCCACCGCCACCTGGAGGGGACGGGACGGGGAGGCCGGGGGGAAACGGAGGGAAGGGGGGGGGGGGGTGGGGGCATTGACATGAGAGGGCAGGACAACCAAGACAGGTAAGCTTCGAGTGGACTCTAGTCGCAGGTTGCTCGCCACTCGCGATGCCGCAAAGGCACGAGGCAGGACAGCGCGAAAGGGGGGGGATTAACTGACTTGAGAGAGAGAGCAGAGCACAGAGACACAGGGGAGGAGAGCCGTGGGGTCCACCAGCCAGCCCCGCATTCAGTCAGTCACAGATTCACAGTGGACGCATTGGCCTACCCCGATTGTGCGGTGCCCCGTTGCACTGCCCCGGCTCTGCACTGCACTGCACACACTAGCACCGCCTCTCCATAGACTCACGCTCTCCGGTGCTCCCCATTTTATCAAAGCACTGTTCATTCACCCCTCCTTGTTCTTTGTTGATCGGTTCCTTTTCCGAGTCCCCCTCGTGCATGTGCATTTCTTCTTCCCTCACCCTCTCTCTGCCTTCCCGCACCGTCACCACCAATCGGCCCACCTGCTCCTTTGCTGTTTCAAAGCGTGATACAGACCCCCTTTCGTCAACGGACGGCATGTCGTTATAACCGCCTTCCACGTGCCAGACGAACAATCTGAAACCGATTTCTCGCCAGCAATCACAACCCTCCGTGTCCCAGCTTTCCCCCATCCCCCACCCCCCGTCCGCCTTCCCCCCGTGCGCGTCCCTTGACCCCCTTCACCTCGCCCCCTCCCCCTTCCCCATCCGCCTGCGCCCCCTCATCTGATCCCCAGTCCCACACACCCCGTCCCCGTCCCCGTCCCCGCCCCTCCTCTTCTCACCCACCCCCTAGCCGCCCCCCCCCCCCCCCCCTCTCCTCCCCTCTTCCCCCTCCCTCTCACCCCGTCGACGAACTCCTCCTCGGGCTGCGCGCCGGCGTCGAGCTTCTTGATGGCGACGGCGCGGCCGTTGAGGTCGCCGCGATACACGCGGCCGAAGGAGCCCTCGCCCAGCATGCTCTGCGGGTTGAAGTTGTTGGTCATCGCCTTGAAGTCTGCTATCGCCATCCGCGGCACCGATATCTCCGCCGTCCCCCGCGCCCCGCCTGACGGCTTCGGCGCCGTGGCTGGGGAAACGGGGGGTGGGCGGGCGGGTGGGGGGGGGAGGGAAGGGGAAGGGGAGAGGGGAGAAGGGGGCCGTGCAGAGACGGGTTGGAGAGGGAAGGGTGGAAAGGTAAGAAATAGGAGCAGGGGTGGTGGGGGAGGAGGCGAAGGAGAAGCACCAAGGAAGGTGAGGTACGTTGGGGGGAAGCGGAGGTGTTGGGCAGAAGGGACGGGGAAAGGGGGGGGGGCGGGCAGCGGAGGGAGAGGGGCGACGGGGAGCAAAAGAAAAGCGCAAGAACAGGCAGGTGAGGGGAGGGGAGGAAGGTAAGGAGACGGCAGCTGGGGAGGTGGGGGAGGAGGGAAAGGGGAAAGCGGACGAGACGCGGGACGGAAGGTGCGGCGAGAACGAGAAAGCAGCACAGCCTTACGCGGGTAGCGGAGGCGATAGGGAGATGAACATTCCAACGGGAAAACGGTAACGGAAGGGGAAGGCGACGAACAGAGGGTCGGGTTGAACAAATAATTCTAAAAAACATATAACCAAACGTGGTGGCGGGACAGCGAGGCTTTAAGAAAGAGACGACGCTTGACGCAGCCGAAAGGGAAGGTAGCGCGGACGAAGGGGAATGCATGTGTAACAGGGCGAGAAGACGAGGTGATGAGGAGAAAAAGAGGAAGAGGCGGAAAGGCGTTTTCGAGAAACGTGATCCATAATGAGGACGGAGCGTGGCGCACAAGAGCCGGGCGGACAGGAGCAACGGTGGCATGCGGAAAGGCACCGGAACCATTTCCGCCACATTAACCATGGCGCGCTCTCTGATAAGCGCCCATTTTCTAGGCGCCTAAAAAATAGACCATTTCCACCACAATAATCATGGCGCGCTCTCTGACAAGCGCCTGTGCTGTCAAGGGCAATCGATCGGCTTTGAAGTGGCTGCAAGAGACCGCAATCCGGCCGCCATGGACTGAGGATTGTCCATCTCTTGAGACGACTCGAACGATGGACTACGTAATACGGCCCGTCGAGTGTATTTTGAGGTGACTGAAAACACGATCAACTGAGGGTGGTCTTTTGAGACGACTCGAACGATGGACTACGTACTGTGGCCCTTCGGATGGTCTGGTGAAACCTCGCACGCTCCGATCTGGACTCGGATGCGCATGAGGCGAAACGAGAACCGAGCTCTGGATCTCACAGCCAGCTGTGGCGGGTATAGCGGGCCAGCGGACGAAGCGAGCAGGCGCAATGATCGGTGGATCGAGACACTATTCTAAATGCCCCTCAAACGAGACTATTCTAGAGGCGCCTCTAGGGAGGAGGAAAGGCCATGACAGCGCACCTTTTGTGGCTGCGGTGGTATCGTAATGGTCGTACGTCGCAGGCTTGCTGCCGAAGCAGCCCATGGCGACAGGCTCTCACAGCACCCGCAAACAGAGCCGCGGCAACAACGGCAGCAGCAGCAGCCAGGCAATCCTTGGTTTCGGTCCACC